GGCCCCGGGCCGGCCCCGCAGCCGCGCAGGGTCCCCTCGGTGAGGGGGACGGCGGCCCCGCCGAGCCCACCATGGTGCTGCGGTTGAAGTTCCTCAACGACACGGAGCGCCTGGCCCGGGTGCGCCCCGGCGACACCGTCGGGGCCCTGAAGAGGTGAGGGCCAGGGCAGGCCGGTTCTCCCGCGGCACCCCTGGGGGCGACCCCGAGCCCCGCCGGCGGCTCTGTCCCTCCCCCCGGAGCAGCCGGGAGCTGCCGCTCTCGCCCTGGCGCAGGTGGCCTGCGCCCGTGCCCCTCAGACACCTCCGCTTGTGGTAACGCCTGGGGTGGCTGACGGTAAGGCACGGGCGCAGGGCAGTGGGTGGTCAGGGCAGGTGCTTTCGCAGCCGGCTCCTGGGGGGGCAGACGGAGGGGACGCTGTCCTGGCGAGAGCGTGACCTCTCCCTCCTCGTCCCCCGCCCCAGGGCCTATTTCCCCGGGCAGGAGCAGCAAGTGCGGCTGATCTACCAGGGCCAGCTGCTGCGCGATGACGCCCAGAGCCTGGCCGCCCTGCACCTCGCCCACAACAGTGTCCTGCACTGCCACATCTCCCAGCACAGCCCGGCCCCCGCGCCCGCCGGCCCCCACGCCTCTGCCGACCCCGTGCACGCCGCCCTCAACGTGGGCAGCCTCATGCTGCCGCTCTTCGTGCTGATGCTGGCCGTGCTCTGGTACTTCCAGCTGCAGTACCGTCACGTCTTCACCGCCACTGCCACCACCTTCCTGGCCGGCCTCACCCTCCTCTTCAGCTTCATGGCCTTCACCATGTACCGCAGATAGCACGGCCCCGCACCCCGAGAGGAGCCGCCGCACCCAGAACGCACGAGGTCCTGGGTGGAGACTGCCTGCCGCCGCTGGACCTGGCGGGGGGGCTGAGCTGTGGACTGTGTCCCCCGGGGGCTGCAGGACCTGCCGGTGGCTGGGCACGTGGCCCGCATGCTGGGTGCCCGGGGCCGGCCGGCACCACAACCGGAGCCAGAGCCAGGCTCGCTGCGGGAGGGAGTGCTGTGCTACCTCTGGGGGGGAAAGGGGTGTCCCGGTGCCACCCCCAGGCCCTGCACGGAGCGTCCTCCTGGCCTCCCCACCGGCCCACCAGCCGCCTCTGCCCGGGCCGTGGAAGGGGTCTGCTCCCCCGGGGAGCGGGCTGCCTCCCCACGGGAGGACGGGTCCGGCCGCCTGGCCCCTCCCTGGGGGTGCCGGTGCCGGTGGGGTGGAGGCGATCCCCGCCGCTCTGTTACAATTAAAGAGGAAGGACTGTGAACGGTCGCGGCCTCCCGGTTCTGCTGCGCCGCGGGAGGGGGAACGGGATCGGGGCGGTGGGACGGGCGGGGCT